AAAAGAAAGATTTTTGCGGAGCTGTAGGAAACGAGGTCAATATCTTTCTATGTACAGTTTCTGTGGAATGGTATCCGGCCAACTCGTCGAAAGCCAACTCGTCAACGGCCAACTCATCGACGGCCAACTCGTCGACGGCCAATTCATCGAATAGGGCAATTCGTATTAGGGCAATTCGTCGAAGGGCAAATTTTCGAAAGGGGTAATCGGTCGAAGGGCGATTCGTCGAATGGGTTGAGTGACTGTTCGAGGTAAACCGTTGAACCGTTGAATGACGGTTCGAGGTTTGCGGTTCCTTTTTATCTTTACTTTCTTTACTTATTTCAATCTTTACAAGATTGAAAGAAAAATTACCAGAGGGCAAAAATAGGAGAGAAACTTTAGACAAGTTGAAAATTATGTCATCTCATGATCGACATGATCGCCCTCTTGTTACGTTTCTTTATTACCTATATTTAGGGTTCCGTGTTTTCGGAGTTTATATTTCGACAAATTCGAAGGGTGTTTTTCGAAGCTTATTTTTTGCCGAAATTCGGAGTTTATCAGAGTTTATATCTGTTTGATTCCCGATTTTACAAAAATTCGGATTTTAATTTCGCTTTGTTTCGTATTAAACTAAATTAATTAATAATAACCGGAGGTAAACGCATGCCAGATAAAAATAAAACGCGCTTGCATCAATTAAAATTTCTTCGGTTGAATTTGGCTTTGGGCCATTGCCATTGGCAATGCTAGGAAGCTCGTAGTCATACCATTCCATTCCATCAATCTAGCCCGCGGTCGCGGGAAGGGAAGAGGTTGCGGATGTAATAAAGAAGTTTTAACTGCCCCTCTTGCCTTTTTTATAGAATCTCTATGATCTATGATTATGTTTTACAAAAACATAACCTCTTCTCTCTCTAAATCACAAATCTCATGACCCAAAAAGGAAACCAAAAGAGTGGCTTTTGTCGTGACCCGAGTGTAGAATGACCTGTTGCCCTGAATCAACCTTGACGAGACAAGTGCTAAGACCCCTTTTGACAACGGTCCTAGATTTGTAAGATAATTATCGTGGCATTTTCCTAGGACCATTTCCCTGCGCTGCCCAAATTGAAAAAAAAAGGCTGTTCACTTTTTAATTTATAAATTCGGAGTTTATCGGATAAATCCGAATTGACCAGATTTTACCGGTGGGTGTTTCTCGGAGTTTTTCGGATTTATCCAAAAACACGGAGCCCTACTTATATTGTAATGAGCCGCCGCAGACTGTAGCTGCGAAAGCGGCGTCAACTGATCGGCCGGGTAGGTTAACACGCACCCGTCGACCAGTTGGCTCTCGACGAGTTGGCCTAGACCCAGTTGAAATATTTCCCCTACGTGGTCTTTGTGACAAGCAATGTTTCGAGTTGAGAAGTGGTCGGGGCGATCTCATCCGCTAATGGATGCTACACATGATCCGTTTCAAATCCTGGAGCTGCTGCTCTTTTGCATAACATGCGAGCTCATCCACATGTGAATAATAAAATGAGCGACGCAAACTTTGAGCGACAACCCTTGCTCAAGCTTAACAAGATCGAGAACCCCCTCCGCTCCCCCCCCCCCCTCCTTCCCCCACGCACACACTGGCGAACGCCCAAATCCTTAAACGTCTTCAAACGAATTCTATATTCTATGCTTGTGTCCGCATTGTGAAGGTGCAACGACCACGAAGAGGGAGCCAGTTGTTTTTCTTGAATACTTGCGCAAATGTGAAATATAGGTTGGAAGTAGTTCATTGTTATGAGCGCTAAAGATGTGCCTTCACACAATAAAGTAATCGGAAAAGTAACGATTACTTCTTTAAGTAATGTCCAATTACTTTTGCCTGCGAGTAATCAAGTAATCTAATCGAATACTTTTTAGCCAAGAGTAATAGTAATTGTAATCGATTACTTTTTTTTTGTAACGTGTACAATACTGGTTATAGGGCACCGATACGCGATACTGTTTGCATGTATGAAGACACCGGTACCGGCACGAAATTACATGCCACTTATCTCTATGATTTTTTGTCGGTAGCATTGTACCCCATTACAACCGACAAGTAAATCCCTTTACAGGCGACTAGTCAACTCGTGTCGGCGGCCCATATGCAATACCGCGTGACCCGTATCTGATACCGGGTGACCCGTATTCAATACCCGGTGACCCCTATTTAATACCGGGTGATCTTTCTGGTACCGAGTGGCTCAAATATGATCCCGAGTGACCCGTATTTGTATACCGGTATATGTATGAAAGTGACTGGTACGGTTATACCGGTGACTGGTATTAGCCTATATAAAACCTGTATCAAGTCGTACAGATTTTTTTTTCAGTTGTGATACAATGCATTCGAAGCCGCACTCGGCGTTTTTTTACATAAGACCTGAAAATAGTGAATACAAATTTCCTCCATGGGCCGGCGGAATTCGCCGCGATCATCGCAATTTGGTTGGTTTTGGTTGGATTTGGTTGGTGTATATTTTATTTATTTTATTTATTATTATCGCAATCCTAGCACGCCCGTTCAATCCGCCGGCGAGCGAAGAGCAATCTGATAATACATAAACATATTTTGCACAAAGAAAAAACAAAAAAAACTCCTATATAATTCTTTGTTTCTGCCGACTCTCACTTACTGTCATGTCATATGGGGAACAACTACAAATCAGAACATGTTAAAGTTACTCGTCGCACAAAAAAGGGCTCTACGTATTATAACTAACGTTCCATGATTTATATCAACTGGTAAGTATTTTAATGAATTAAATATTATAAATGTGTTAAAAGTGCATGATTTCAGACTAGTTTCTCTTTACAAAAATGCAGTAACAATAAACAACGTACCACTGCTACAATTATTTAATCTAATCAAACACATACCATCGTATAATATAAGACAGCCCGAAATATGAAAAATACCGACCGTCAGAACCTTGTATCGACATCAATCTATACTTCATACCTTGCCTGTTCTCCTTAACAACCTTGCAAAACAAAACATTACACCCGAAACATCAACAAAACAGTCCCTGAAGTCCCATTTCATATTTTACTGATGCGACATTTTCGAATTTTTCTTTATGCTTATATGGTTTTTCGCTGTTGTATTTTTCTTATGTGACCTTGTTGTATAGTATGTACGCATGCTGTTCTTTTTTGTGTGTGTATCATGATGTCTGCAAATTCATCACCTTGTTTTACTTGACTAGGTATGTAGGCATGTACGTGATGTATGTATGTGTGTATGTATGACGTGTTGCATGTATAGTGTGTTATTTATGCTGATTCACCGGTTATAATATTTGCGTTTTTATTACTTGATTATTACTTGACCCGGTATATATATATATCTGTGCGTTTATGTCTGTATTATTGTCACTCCACCTCTTCGTCGGTTAGACTTTAAATGTTCTGCTATGCTTTGAGTGATTATTTAGTTTGAATTTTATTGTGTACTCTATGCCAAGTGCTGGGGGGCAGGGGCCTGTCAAGCTGCAACTGCAGCTTTTTTCCCTGCTCTCCACACTCCTTTGGAGTGAAACTAAACGATTATATATAATACGAGGAGCAAAACATATTTTTCATGTAGATTTCTTCAAATAATAGCACTTTTGAATGTCGTACCATAGTGATTTTTTGAACCGTTCATTATACAAACGACAAACGCTTTGTAGAGGCATATTCCAGCGCAGATAAATGAAACAAATGGCGGTGTATTATAGTCGTTTCTGCTTACAAATGCGGGACATGCGATTTAATATGATGTCCGAAAAACTATTGCGGGTCGAATAACATAAAACAAATACAAAGCAATGCTAGACACCGATAGGTTTTTGAATTTCAAAGTTCCGAACTTGTACTCCGGCGCGAGATCAAGAAACACGAACGAAGCCCTACACGCGGCCAAGACGTGCCTTAGAATAGATTCAAGTGGACAGCGCTTCAATGCTACGCAATGCTGACGCTGTCTCTGGTGGCGAAGCTGTTTTAGGTGGCGCTGCCTACCATTTTCCAACAGAGCCGTATATAGTTTATAGAAAGTCTTTGGGCAATTTTATGAAAAGAATATGAGGCAAATGAGGAGGCGCCACTGGCAGAAGGCGGGTTGGGCGTGTTCACAAATTGGAATGTGGTCATTTAAAAGCCTCCTATAATACCCTGGCGGTGGTCACAAGAAACTATTATTGTCAGTGCGTTGGAGGTAAATGTAGTAACTCTGGTGGGCTGAAACTATGGTACGCGTGACGTTTGAATGACGGTCATTGAAAATGCTAAAAGAAACAACGGTGCGCTCAAAACCAACAAACTCCTCCGGCCGAAAACGCGCTGGGGAATCGCCTTGGATTGTGTATGGTCAGCATGGTCAGCATAGTCTGCCGTCCAAACAAAACAACGTTCGAGCAGCACATTCGTTTTTTTCTTTCATTTTGCATGACCCTAGTCGAAACATCACGTGCACCATATGTTGAACACTCAAGAATTACTACATTTAACTCTAACGCAAGTATAGAATAGTTTATTGCTACCACCACTGGGGGTAATTATCGGCTTCTGGTTAACCAAGAGAGTATGCCCAGCCCTCAATCTACATCTGGGGCAGACCGTTGCTCTGCCCGCTTCACCTATGTGTAGCGCAAGTTCGTCTGCTTCTTGCCCTGAGGTTGCGATGATGTCAGAACGCCGAGCACTTGTTGGTTGATCGAAAAAATAGTAGGCAGACTTCGAGGCATCCATCATTGAGGTCTACCCACTATTCCTTTAATCAGAGCCAATCAGAGCTCGGCACAAGTACTGCAACGTCACCGCTTGAGCATAATATGCCATGCCGTGCATTTCTTCAACTGGCAGCAACAACAGCAAATTCAGTATGCTTGAGCTACCTAAGGCTTTTCGTGCTCGGAATGCCTAATGACGGACGTCCATGTTGTTTCTTGTGTCTTTTGCGCATTCAGTTAACATCAAACTCACGTCTCACTACGTTGCATCTATCGCAGAACTCACGCGACCCGGTTCAAGGCTACCGACACAAGTTTGCCGGGCGGCTGTCTGCCAAGAACGAGGTAAGTGACTGCAAGGATATCCTTCGGCACTCTTGGAGCAGGAGCGGTGTTCAAAGCGTCTTCGACTTTCACCGCTTTGGACAACTCACACTGCCGATCACGTAGGCGACGTGCCGACTGCGTTGTGTCCTTCTAGCTCTTTTTTTACGACGTAACTATTGCCATAATATGCAGTCTTATGCGTGTCTCGAATCCCAAGGATCGCTAACAGTGTCCACAGCCGCTCTCCTTGTCGGAAGCTGTGTGTGACACAGCGTCGAGAATCTAAGGGAGAGGAGGAGGCGAGAGCACGAGGGGATCTCCGAACACCGAGCTCTGTGTTGGAAGAATTTATTGGTAAAACCTAAAGCTCGCTGCCTTTGTCTCCGCCATCTCCACTGCACTCGTCGAACACGTTCAAATGCAAAAGCCGAACGCCTGATGCCGGCGTTCCGCATTCCAACGCGTTCCACGAGTGCAGCGGAGACGAAGGTCTACCCCCTAATCGTTCCAACCAGAGCTCGGCGTTCTGACCTCCACACGCGCTCTCGTCTCCTCACTTCCCTCAGTTTCTCGCCGCATTGCCTTTCGGGATTGAACCACCACTGCTCCTGCGTGTTTGGCAGTGGCAGCGAACATCTTAACTTTGTTCGAAATTACTTTGCATCAGTGGTTGTGGACGAACAAGATTTTGTGTGACTCGTACACAGCGGAACAAACGAATAAATAAGAGCTCCTTGAACGAGGTCGTACGGTTGCCCTTGATACTTTAATTTTTTATTTGTGCATTCCAATACATGTTGGCGTCGTGGGAATTCTAGGGAGTGGGTAGAATGAGCATGATATTCGACATCCTCCCGTTTCATCTGTCAGGGGGAGGAACTGTAATGAGAGAGAATGGCTCGTGGTAGAGCACCTATGGCGTTAGCAGCAGATCGCCGGCTCTGTTTCAGTCTCGCACAGTTGCAGCATGCCCGCGTTACACGGTGCTCACCAAACGTAGAGACCCGTTTGCTGTTTACATTTACGTGAACTGCCGCTTGCGTCACAAGCGTCTTCCGGTCGTTTCGTCTTTGTGAGCCTGTGGAGCTTTCTTACGTCACAAAGGATAGAAAGCCTAAATGTTGCACGGACAACAACGTTGGAGATTTAACGAGGGCGCTCGGCTGTAAAAGTTGACGTCCTGGAAGGGGCAAGTTGGTTTACAAAAATATTTTTTAAAAAATTAACAGATATCGCGTTTCTGTTTCTTTTGGCGTTCACCTGGAGAATTGATGGTTAAACGTTTCATCTACATTTCAAGCAGTGTTGTTAAGCTGGGCTTTGTTCATTTTTTTATGAACGGGGAGTTCTCTTGGACGTTAAAGACTGGAGCACCGCATGGTGGCGTTTGCCATGAAGAGGGTCTGTAAGGAACGCGCGAACTGCGTCTTTCATCTAATGTAAGCACTATCCGGGCGGCGGCGGTAGAATGATTGCCTTGTCACGTAGCGCTCAGTAGAGAAGCCCAAGCAGGTGAGGCCGCTCGCTCAACGCTGCAGTCATTGCTGAGATAAATAAGCTGAGCTTCAGAGTAAATATACGCTTGAGCCATCTTTCTGCTTAACATTATTGTGGCCAGTTGTCTGAATCTCTGCACCGAGCACAAAAATGGCGACCTCCACGAGAAAAGTAAGAACGAAGTGCCAATATTTTGAGAGTACCTTCTTTAGTGGCTCTAGTCCATTACGTCTCGTACTTTCGGATGGATGGATGCTAATGGCTGTGCCTGTATCCTTCATAACGGGCGCTCCTCTGTTCGCCTTTCAAAAATGAAAGGCGAACAGAGGAGCGCGTGGCTTGCAGTACAGGCTGCGCCGCCTGGAAGTGAGCATAGGGTCGAGGGTGTGTGGCCCACTTCGGCATTGCGCCTCTTAAGGCCTGTTCACACATGTAGCGGAGCGCTTCAAGCGTAGCGCTGACCTCGCGCTAAGCGCGTGCTGACGGGAGCGTTCACCAGCTTTGTGTCGTACCGTCAATACTGTTGGTTGTTAATGGCAGACAATAAGTAGCAGACGACACGTGAGAAGCGCTACATTAGCGCTTCGCTGCATGTGTGAACCGGCCTTTAGTGCGCTGAAACCTATCACCGCTCTCTGCTCGCTCGGTGCGTGAGACGCGAGCAAGCTCGCCGCTAACAGGAGCCAGAGCGCGCGCCCAGCGCTGCTGCTAGCGCTGGGCGCGCGCGCGCCGAGTGAGCGAAGATAGCGGTGATAGCTTTTAGCGCACTAACCGCTCATTCACACTGGAAGCGGATCCGCGTTCGCAAAACCCTTGTGAACGCGGTTGTATAAAGATCCAGTGCAATTGCACGTGCACTTGATGTCATCAAGTGCACGTGCAATTGTACTGGATCTTTATACAACTGAATTCACAACCGCTTTGCGAACGCGGATCCGCTTCCAGTGTTATTGAGCGGTAAGAGGCGCAATGCCGAAGCTTGGGAAGCGCGAGCGATGGCGCATTCGCCTTTTCCACAAAGACGCAGCCATTTTAAATGTCGTCACTTCTGGTATGCGGTAAAACATCGTTCTAATTTCTCCTTGCTGCTGGAAGGTGTTCACAAAAAATGCGTGATTTTCGCACTTTCTTGTTTTGCCTCCCTTATATTTGCTCGCATATTCCAGGTTGAAATGTTTTATTCTTTTTTCGTCCCGCATATCAGATACGGGACCCACGTGACTGAGAACAACAGGAAACAAAACACGTCTTTACACATTGGAGTAGGGCTCACACCCTCGTCCCAAGGCTCACTTTCAGGCGGCGCAGCCTGTACCGCGGGCCACGCCCTTCTCTGTTCGCATTTCATTTTAAACCCGATAGTACATTGGCTATTTGAAAAAGTTGTACCACTCGGGCTCGTTGGTGCCGCCGATTCGACGTCGGCGCAACGACCGTCGAACTGAAGTTTTGGGGTGCCATATATGGGCGGTGTTGTACGGAACGGCGTTCGGTTTTCCTGGAACGCGTTCCTTTTAGGAGGAACGAAGGAACGCCGCCGTTCGATTTCGCATCGGTGGAACTGGAACGGGAATTCGTTACCTTTTTACTGGAACGGAAAAAGGAACGGCGTTCCTATTTTTTCGTCCAGTGGGGTAATTTGTACTTTGTTTCTAAGGAGGAAATTCTAAAAGTATAAAAAAATAACTTTACGAAGAGCAGGATCCCGTTAACTTTTTGGTTACTTATCCTAGGGATTATTTCGAGTGGTCCTCGCTTGGTAACAGTCGGGTGCAGGAGAGCTTCGGTACATATTTTTTTTTTTCGATGCCCGAGACTCTGGTGCAAAAAGCAACACTTTTAGTCGAAGGAAAAGACACAGAAAGAGGAACGTTTCAAACTCAACTACTTTCTTTGCTTCCACGTATCCTCATACACCCAGAGATATAGGGCCGGCTACTGCCAGACCTGAACTTACACAAAGAGACCTATGGTTACAAAACAAGCTGGTTACCATACATCGAACGCAACCTTGTATCCTGAACTTTTGTCACTTAAAAGATAACCAAAATTTCACCTTTTATTTTTCTTTCTCCCTTTGTCCATCACCTTCGAACTGGACAACTAATCCAACCTTCACCTAAAAGGACTTGTTTTCAAGACTGATCTTCCCCTTTCTTCACTTGCTCGTCTTGCGGACATCAACATCGATAAGCAACTGTTCTTACGTTCGAACGAGGGATTTTGTTAGATTGAAACGTGTGAGGTTGTAAAACGATTGAGCAATTTGGGGAAAGAGTACATTTGGCTCGTCTAAATCGCCCACCAAAAACCTGAATATGGTTAAATCTGAGATTTTTAAAGGTGAATATATCAATAAATCCAACCCTGCTTCCGCTTGTTCTCTTCTCCATGTGCCCGTTCATCACGGCATTCAAATTCGTACTTGGACATTTGATAGAATAGATTTAAAAAATATTTGCTTGATCTAACTGCTAATCACCAAAATATAAATGTAACGTATATGTAACGATACGTTCCATTTTTTTTTACTGTAACGGGAACCAGTTCTTTTCTCACATATAAAACTTGTAACGGGATCGCGTTCCAAACATCACAAGGAACAAAGAACGAGCTTTCGTTCCTTTTTTTGAGGAACGTGTACAGAACTGGTATGGGACAAGGGGTGTAAAGATATACCCTTTCTTTCTGAGACTAGCGTCGGCTGTGCCTAGAGTTAAGCTGAAACGAGATATAGTATATACTAGGGTAATTTCATGCGCGGTTTGGTTTGAGCTGGTGACATCTAAGCATTTTGCTTCGAACGCTTCTTTTTATTTTTGTTTTGTTCTGAAGCGCGTGAATGAGCGTCTCCCTTCACGCGCTTTATAGCGTTGACTGCGCTACACCGGCATTTTGTTTTCGACGATTTCTTTGTATTGTTCTTGTGAGCGCGTGCTGTTGGCATCGGGTACTACAAAGGATGTGATCACACTAAACAGAAGGACATTGAGGCAACCTAGGTTATATTCGAATGACGGGGCGGCTGTTCGGAACGCCCGTCCACCTGCACGCGCTCGTCGCCTTTTATGCTCGTGCATGCTCGAGCCACACGAGAAGCGGAAGCGTTGTCGAAGGTACAAACAAATTAAATGTATAGTTCCTTGAAATCACTAAAATTTGTGTTGTAGGTACCTAATGGGGTATCCACACGAAGGAGAAATCCGCCCCTTTCCTCCGCGGAGCGCGCATCACGTGAGACATACGTCATCCCTTTTTGACGCCTCGCTGTCCTCGCGCCGCCGTTCTCCTCCGGGGCGGAGGCGCGGAGGCTACGTGCTGTCAGCACGAAAGCTCCGCAGGTGCACGCGGCGGAGCCGGGGACGGAGTTTCCCGGGATGTTGACGTCACGACATCCGTCCGCGGAGTTCTCCTTCGTGTGGATACCCTTTTAGTTCCCCAATGAAACAAAAATTACAGTCAATAAAGAAAAATAAATATTGTAGGTAGCTCAGTTGGTAGGGCAGAGGACAGTAATCTAA